CTCCCCCTCTGCACCCTTGCTCTCCTCTGCACCCCTGCCCCCTCTGCACCCCTGCCCGGACTGTGGGCAGATGCCGCCCTTTTCTCTGGTTGAACCTGTGTTTTACAACAGTCCTGCCCACCTGGTTGGTTTTCTCAGGGTGCATAGAGTTAGAGAGGGCAGGTGTTCTTTTTGGGGTTACTGTGCTCATAGAAGCAGCAGTAGGGAAGCCAAGTGACTCCAACACAGAGCTGCACAAGGTGGCCCCTGAGCCAGGGGTCAGGAGCAGCTCTGAAGGATGGAGAGGAGCCCAAGGGCCTGGGCGCGCCACTGCTGGGAAGGTCACCCAGTGCCCAGCTCAGGTGTATGTGACCTTGCGACAGCTTTGCCGGGCACCCTCGACCTCCACCGGGGCCGTGTGGCTGACCGGTCAGCACTCCTCAGTGTGGCAGAGTGCCACTTGCCCACCTGTGCCGTGTGGTTGACCGGTCAGCGCTCCTCCGTGTGGCGGAGTCGCCCCGTGGGTGGTGACTGCTCACTTTGTGGTGAAGATTGAGTCTGTCCTTTCTGCTTCCCAGGAGTTGTGTCCACTGTGGTCCCTGACTCTGCTCACAAGCTCTTTATCGGGGGCTTACCCAACTACCTGAACGATGATCAGGTGAGCCAGCCTGACCCTTCCCCGCCCCCTGCTCCGATGACCCCCACCGCATCCCACAGTTCCCCTTCCTAGTCCTCCCTGCTCCTTCTCAGCCCTGAACTTGGCCCTTTCTGAGCCTCTCACCTGAACTCCTTGCAGGTCAAGGAATTGCTGACATCGTTTGGGCCTCTCAAGGCCTTCAACCTGGTCAAGGACAGTGCCACAGGACTGTCCAAAGGCTACGCCTTCTGTGAGTACGTGGACATCAACGTCACAGACCAGGTGAGTCCTGGGCCGCTGCCATAACCCTCTGGCCGCTCTGGGTCTCTCTGGGGCTGGCCCACCCCAGCCCTGGGCCTCTACCCCAGTGCCCCCTGGTCCTGGGGTTCACCATCCTGCCTGACCCACCCACACAGGCCATCGCAGGATTGAACGGCATGCAGTTAGGGGACAAGAAGCTGTTGGTCCAGCGAGCGAGTGTGGGCGCCAAGAATGCCACGCTGGTGAGCCCCCCGGCACGTCACCTTCCTCTGGCTAGAGGGACCCCGGGCTGGGTGGTGGGCGTGGTGCCGGTGGGCAGTGCTGGGGCCTGCCGGGGGGAGGGTGAGCGGGGCACAGGGGTGGCCTTTAGCCAGGGTGGCTGGGTGGGGGGTGTGCACGCGCGCTGTGACCTTCCGCTTCCCCCCCACAGAGCACCATCAACCAGACGCCGGTGACGCTGCAGGTGCCTGGGCTCATGAGCTCCCAGGTGCAGATGGGCGGCCACCCGACCGAGGTGCTGTGCCTCATGAACATGGTGCTGCCCGAGGAGCTGCTGGACGACGAGGAGTACGAGGAGATCGTGGAGGACGTGCGCGACGAGTGCAGCAAGTACGGGCTCGTCAAGTCCATCGAGATCCCGCGGCCCGTGGACGGCGTCGAGGTGCCTGGCTGTGGAAAGGTCAGGTCCTCGGGGTGGACAGGGGTCCCCGCGTGTGAGTGCATGTCTGTGTGCGTCTCCCTGTGGGACCGGTCTGGCTCTCACCACCCGCTGAACCTTGTCCTGTCCCTCGTGTGTGACTGGCATTGTCCTTTGAGCCTTGGCTACCCTGTCTCAAGTTAGCTCCAAGCCCCTGCAGTCTGCGCTAGGCCAGGCCCTCCGCCTCTCAGGACAGCTCTGCCAGTCACCCCGGGGAAAGCTGTGGGCCCATACAGTCGGGGCCCTGGTCACCTTCCCTCGGCTGGAGCCCCCACACTTTCCTCCTGCGGCCGGGTGGACAGGCGCCCCTGCTCGGTGCCCTGGAAACACTGGGTCCCGGGGTCCTGGTCACCTTCCCTCGGCCGGGGGCACCGTCAGCTCAGGGTTGGCTCAGGGGAGAGGCATTGGCTGTGGGCCCCAGCTCCACCCAGCCGGCTCTGGGTGTTCGCATGCCGCTTTGTTTACTTGTATTTTTGAGAACACACAATTGAGCAGTGTCCCGTCCAGCCCAGTGTCCTGGGGTTCCTGTCTTGGTCAGCCACCCTCTGGCGGTCACGGTACTGCTGTGCCAGTTGTGGCGGATCCTCTCGCTTCTTCCTTGTCTTCTTTCATCCCTGTTGGACGTTGTGTACTTGAATGTCGCGATTCCTCCTGCGGACCTGCACCTGTCCTGCTCCCTCCCCTTGAACGTACACTGCCGTCTAGTCTTTGAAGTTGTTGCTGCCAGTTTTACCTGTGTAGATGGACAATTTTTCTAGTTACGCTCAAGTACCGATTTGACTTTGAGGAGATCCCAGGGGCACTCGAGGGGAGCTCGTTCAGCCTTGGTGAACCCTAAGTTGGACTCCATAGGAAGGTCCCATCGTTTTGCTGGGACTTGGCCCAAACACTTTGATCAGAACGTTCTGTGTGGAGCTGGGCATTGCCCTCTGATGCCCCAGGTTGGGGAGACCGCTGGTGCCCTGGTTTGTGTTCAGACCGGAGGCCTGGCAGGGCAAGGAGGTGGCACAGTGTCGCCTCATAATACCTCGAGTCTAAGGCACAGGCCCCACCTCCTCAGGCCTAACCTTGTCCTACGAGACACATCATCCCTTTGCCAGGTTTTTCTAATTATACAGCTTGTGGGCACCAAGCAGACCAAACTCTCAGCTTGTAACTATCGTGTTGTGAGAGCTGCCCGTTCTCTGGGGCCGGGGACCAGTGAGCCCCGTCCTGCGGAGCGGCTGGTGGCTTCCGGGCACTCCAGCCATCACGCCACCAGGGCCCCTTCACCTGGCATCGCTGTGAGTGCAGGAAGGCCAGGCTCGCTGAGCAGAACAGCTCCTCCTTGGCCCCAAGTTCTGGTGTTCTTGTGGACCTTGCTCACGCTTTTTCTGGAGTGTGCTCATTCCTCATCTGCTGATACTTGGCGGCTGACTGTCCCTGGCCGCTGCCCACAGAGCCTCAAGCTTCCTGACTCCTCCTGGCGACCCCGGATCGCCTCCTGGGTGATGGTGTCAGCCCATTCAGTGAGGAGTAGAGCTGACCCGGTGCCCACGTAGTCAGAGGTGCCCTTACTGGCGTCTAGAGCAGGCCCCGTCTTTCAGTGCTCCCTTGCTCGACAGCCCCATCTGTTGTTCTTGTCCCATTGATGGTTCCAGGCTCTGGGCTCACCCCCTCCCCATGTCCTGTCCTCTGGATGGTTCCAGGCTCTGGGCTCACCCCCACGTCCTGTAAGCTTGTGTGGCACCGGGTCCAGGGGACTTGTCTCTCTGCTCCTGACTGCTGTGACCTTTCCCCTTCTGCTGTCTGGGGATGGGGCCCACATACCAGGCTTGAGCCACTGCCTCTGCTGGGGGTGGGGTGCCTGTCTGGGGCCTGGTGCCCTGATGGCAGGCCTGTCCAGCCTTGGCGAGGTCCCCCCAGTGGTTGTGCTGGGGCTGCCTGCTCCTTGATCTTGCCTTGACCCCTGTCTCTTGTCCCCACAGATCTTTGTGGAGTTCACCTCTGTGTTTGACTGTCAGAAAGCCATGCAGGGCCTGACTGGCCGCAAGTTCGCCAACAGAGTGGTTGTCACAAAGTACTGCGACCCCGACTCCTACCACCGCAGGGACTTCTGGTAGAGGCAGATGGGCAGGCCGGCGGGGGCATGCCCCCCCCACCTCCCTCTTCCCTCTGAAGACGACGGCAGAGGAGTGACAGCCAGTGACAGCGGCAGCAACTGGAATGGCAGCAGTGGGGCGGGCGGGGCAGTGTACCCCCAGACACAGAGGGCAGGGCCACAGTGGGGGCACAGGACCCCAGCCCCTCCCCCCTTGACCCCTTGTCTCCGCCTGCCCACCTAGAACATAGCGTGTTTATATTTTATGGCCAAAAGATTTTGAATTCTGTTGTCTGGCCGCGTGCCCAGCCCTCCCCAGGACCACAGCGCCTGCCCTGCCTCTGGCCCCTGGTCCCCCGGTTTCTTCCGTAGTTGGTTCTCTAGTCACCCCACCTGCCCCACCTTGTGGCCCGTCCCCCCTTCCTCTGTGGCAGTTTCATATTTGCTAAGACGAATTTGCTCATTAAACATTTTGTTGTATTTTAA